CACAACTTGAAATGAAAACAATGATCATAGCAGCGACGGAAACATATTAGGTTTTTGCTAGATTACTGATGTCAGAGAACAGGACAGAATCTTTTGCAATTGTGCAAACTTTTCATCTCATGATTATTTTAAGTTCATGTAGGTCAGTTTAACATATTTAAAACTTAAGCTTGCTTCAGCGAGCGAGATACTTATCATGCAAGATGGCCCGCGTAGATATATCAGACGTGAATGAAGCATTACAGTTGTAACAACAGCTTACTTTATCTCAGAATATATTTCGTGCGTAAAGAGGTTAAACTACAAATATATAAATAGACTCAAACGCACGGGTAAACTTCTCACGGCACAAATGTTACCTGGTCTTTATTTGTGTGTTTCTACGAAGTTCCAGCTCGATTTGAACGGCATTGACCGAAAAAGGTGTAGCAGAATCATCAGTTCAGCGATAAAACCCGCTTAGAAAACAACTCCACAGTTCATTCTTTAGCCGAACTCAAATATTCCCGTGTAATCATCTTGCTTGTTGACCTTGATGGAACCAGTGATGCACGTGATTGCCATATGACAATTGATTATGACGTAAATAAAGCTTGAACCTTCCAACACGTCCGACAAACAGCGAAGCACGAGGCAGAATGCTTTGCGCAACGAAATTGTGACGTCATTCAAAATGGCGCCGAAAAGGCGAACCATGGAACGAAAAAACACGGGTCAGCTTTCGCTTGCGTGCACAGGGAACCTACGCGATAACAGGCAACCCAGAAGATTAGGAAGCGTTCTTCCTTCGTCGAACGCAACAAAGAATAAAGAAACAAATTGCGATAAAATTGGAAAACTTACGTGGTAGGATGACAGCAGTTCAGTGATGTTGCCGTGCTGCTTGATGGCTGATGACAGATCTTTCACCTGCTGTGGAGTCATCTTCACTTCTTCAAGCGTCAGTGACCACAGTCTCTTCAGGTGAGGAGCGCGGCTGAGATGTTGAATCAAGCTGTCTACTCCTGCACCCAGAAGAGGATTGTCTGACATGGCGAGCGACGACAAGTTTGGTGCTTTTTCAAATAAACTGTCGATGAACTCCACAGCAGGTGATGATGTTACATTGATATGCCAGAGTGCTAAGTACTCCAGTTTGTGGGTAATTGGGATGCTCCTCAGCAGAGACTCTGTTACCTCAGGATCAAACACTTCACCGTCTTCACCCTCAACCACTATCGACTGCGGAGCGGTGATAAACGGCATCATCTCACTCATCAGTTCCACTTCTGACCTGTTCATACCAACAGTTTCAATCATCCGAACCCTGGAGAGACCATGACGCTTTGAACAACAGCTGCTGCTGCTCTCTCCACTTGACTCATCACCATTCATGTTTGTCTTCTTTGTTGTTGTCTCTTGTTTACTTATTGGTGCCTTTATCATATCATGAGCAAGAACACGGAATCTAGATGTACTAATAATTTCTGTAAAATACAAGTGAGTGTTGTTTTCTTCCTTCTTTAGGAAAAATTCATCAACTTGACATGTAAAGTTGCTTAAAAATTCTGCTGCTTTCTTTTCTCCTGAACAACTTACTATGAAAGCCTCTAATTGTTCAGATAAAATTATTAAGTTTTTATAGTCTTGCTCTGTATAGTTGCGAGAAGTGAAAAAAACGTAATTTACGTTTACGGTAGTTTTAGCTAACTTTTCTTTCACAAGATCATTTAGCTGGTCTGCTTCAATTAAAAGAACTCCTTTGAAAGAGGAAAGAAATGTAGGAAAGAAGTTTCTTTTTGTCTCAGCTGAACAGTAGAAAAACAACTGTGTACAGAGTGTTAGGAAATTTCTTTGGTCTTCTGAAAAATCCTCCTCTGACGGTGCTTCGCTGTCGAAGGTGTACTTCGTGAGTCCTTCTTCGTTCGCCGCCATTTTGATCAGATGAATCACAATCTCGCACGCGGCTTCTTCTGACAGCTCACCAGCAAATTTTAACACTTCATTCATTTTGAAGATCTCTTCAACCGAGTCCAACTTTGACAGGGAATTTGTAATTTTATTCTTTTGAGATGATATCAGCTCCTCTTTCAGGAAACTTCCCGCAAGGTATTCTTGTAGGGATTTATGAATGAAATACACACCTTTTTCAGGATTCAAACTTGAAATATTTAAAACTTGAAAAAGGCCTACTTCAATCAACCTCTCGATCAGATCGTAGTTAGGTAATTCACTTCTCGGGAAGTACAGGCAATCGTTGATGAGAGCTTCAAAGGCCAAGCGCCCTAATGCACATAATTCATCTGAGTAATCCTCAATGTTAAACACCGATTCAGCAGACTGTTTTCCATGCATGTGATGAAACAAAGTCTTAACGAACTGATTGAAGATTTCTACGCGTTTCTTGGGTAGTTCTTTGCAATCTTTTTCTTTCCAGAGCAGACACAAAATAAGCAGAAGAAGTGGAATCTCTGCCAAGTCTTTAAGGTGTTGTTTCCTCAAGTAGGTACAGAACTTTTGAACATCATCTTTATCTTTCAAAAATCTTCGAGCAAACTTTTTCTGGCGCTTATCGTCAAACCCGTTAATCTCAAATTGGGCATCACTGGGCTCTCTCAACTTGTGAGTTGTCATTTGTCTCGAGGTGACTATAACACAGCAGTCACTCAGTTGATTTCTCTCCCAAATTTCATCAACAGGCGATTGCTCCCCTGCACTGTACTCATCGTAGCCATCCAAGATAAGCAAGACCTTTTCTTGATGATTTAGAACGTAGTCGTACAGATCATCAACATAAATTTTGCCATCATTGGCGAGCAGCTGAGAAGCCTTAAAAATGGATGGAACATCATGAAGATTACAGACATCACGTAATCTTATCAGAAGGACAAGTTCAAACGCTCCTATCGTTTCTTGATATCTCTGTTGGGACCAGTCAAAAGCGGCTTTCTTGGTAAAAACAGTCTTACCAATACCTGGATAACAACAAATGAACAACAATAAGAGAAACAATTTCTGATTCAAGTACTTCTAAGATAAAAAAAAAAGTATTAATTGATACAATCACTTCTGAAACAAGAACTTCGAGCCTGAAAATCATTGAAAACACAGTTTGTAAGAGGATTAGCGCTGACCAAATACCAGCTTTTTAAAATATCACAATCATAAAACAGTACCTGACAAGTATAAGAAATGGAATTTGTTTAGTTTACTTTTAGACGGTAGAAAAATGGTATGTTTACCATTGAGTAGACTGAGAACGTATTTATTTTTGGACTCTAGAAAATGGTATTCCTGCTGATGGGATTGAACGGGGGCACCCAACGACTCAATGTTTCAAAATGGATCAGAAGTGAATCAAATGGTTTTCTCCACGCTTTAGAAGAATGGTTGATAATTTAGATCTGTCTTAAAAACTATTTCTCTGTTCGGGTGTCTTAGGTAAACTTTGGTCGTCACGAAAGTTTTAGGTGGCTTTTTCGTCGCATCCGAAACTCTGTTACCTACCATGACGGGTCTCGTCGAAAGATCGAGGACCATAACATACGTTCATAATTTTAAAAAAATATATAGAGGCAGTTTTGTCTTGAACGGCAACAAAAATCCTTCTTGGGTTATAAAATGTAAAATACACGACCCCGAAAGTTAGTTAGTAAGTTAGTAGATAACTTAAAATATCTTGGACGTTGGAGTGCTTTAATATTCTTAAGTTTATACCCTTCCAAGAGCTTTCAAGGCAATATTTGCTTATTCGATTAGTTATTTCACTGAAAAAAGTGGTTGGGTACCCCTGATTTTTAATTTGAGGCCAACTTTTCATGGGGCACTCAGGGACTTTTTCTCCGAGATCCCACTGAAGATATAGATTCCACTGGGTCTGTTACAGAGGGGTATAATTTGGGTTACAACAGTAAAACACACTGAACTGAAGAAGGATTATGAGGCTAGGATATTGTTAGACAAGAATCGTTTGAAATATCCCGGGGGAGGGGGGTACTCCCTATGATGGCCTATACAGGGAGGCTCGCCCGAAAGGGGTATCTTCCACAGGCTTCAAGTATATGAAAGGGTAGGCATTTCACTAGTCAAAGTATATTGATAAAGAGTAGAGAAATCTGTCATTTGGGTCTGTGAAAGGGCCCAAAAAGGCTAACAGATAAATTTTATGGCTTATTAAGTCGCGAAAATGTTCTATTTTCGTAACTGATTCTTATTTAAAAGACAGTGAGTGCATTTACAGCAGTTAAAAGGGATGCAAAGTCGCAAACAAGGTATGTGAAAGGGCTACCATTTTTCAATAGAAGGTGTATAAAAGGGTACCTTTTTCGTGAAAAATGGTACATGAAAGGGTAATGGTTTGGACCTCGGGGTGGAGCCTCCCCGTACAAACATTTGATGAGTACGTCGCTTGGTACTTTTTAAATTCCTCCGCATGCAGTGCTTGAAATACAAAAAAATAGAGTGCATACCTGGCCTGCCATAAACCAAAAGTCGCTTTCCACCATTGAAAATCTCTGTGTAGCTTCCAAGCTTTTTTTTTGTCACACCACTGGGTTTCCTGTGGTCCTTAAGCCAAGTCAACTGTGTGTACATCTTATCAATATCAACAGCAGAGCTTGGGTCCCATGGGATGATTCTGACTTTGCTCTTTGCTTTATAAACCATTTTCAGACGTTTCTGGCACTTCTCAAGGCATACAGAATCTGTTAAAAGGTTTTAATTACATAAAAAGAACCTCTTTAAGTTAAAAATATATAAATAAAATGCTTTTGGCTTGAGTAACGTATAAATATAGAATATGCACTAGCCTCCTGAGCAGATGTTCTTAGGGTTTTGTTATGTGTACCTACCCCACGAGTTACAAAGCCCTGAGAACGTCTGCTAAGAGGCTAAACATGCGCATGGTGAAAACAGCACAACTAGTTGATAAACATCTCCTAGTTATGTTACAGTATACATAAATAAGGCATTAAAACTACAATATTTTTGCATTTACTAATATTAGTAATTCATTAAAGGTTGTTACTAATTCATTACTTAGATGTACTGTAATGATGGTACATGAATATTTTTCCTCAATTATTCTGTTGTGTTATTAAGTGATACCTTCTTAAGATTCAATCTTAAGATTCCACAGTTGGGTTTGATTTGCAGTTTGGTGCAGGTGAGTAGGATTAGGGTTAGACGGCTAGTTACGGGACTTACGTCACAACTGCACACCTCTGAAAATTCATTTTTTTCCCAAAAATCTTAGATGTAATTTAACATATTACGAAGGAGAGTTTTTTTCTGATTCCTCTTTCCATCACATTTTTGAATCCGAAACTTTTAGGCTTCCTTTTTTCTACGAAAAATAGCCTAACCTGGGGACTTCAGAAAATCTTAGGCAATTTATTAGGTGAGCTTCGAAATTTGTACATGAATGAAATGGTCATCTAGAAATTTTTCACTGTCCTCAAGTAACAGAAAATTCTAGGCAATATTTGGTTCTCCGAACATATATTTTACAGAAAACAGTCGTTGGGTGCCCCTGAAAATTAAACTGCCTGAGATTCAACTAATTTTTATCTCCATCTGGAACAGGAGCAAGTGAGCAGATTTCACTGGGACATGATACAACATTTTAATAGTGGCTAGTGTCACATTGCAAGCTACACTGTACCAGGCTACCCACACCTATAGCAGGCACAGTTATTGCAGTTCTGACCTCTCATCTGGCGATAACAACCTGTCTCCAAGTTAGAGACCAAAGTTCATGAAATCTCAGCATTCAATCCTCAAAATATTGTCTAATTGGGTTACAAACTTCAGTCTGTTACATTATACTTCTCAGGTATTATTGATTTCATAGAATGGTACCTGGTAACTTTTTCTTGGGCTCACTTTCAGGCTGCTTCTTCATTGACAGGTCTGTGAAATGTCAGAAAAAAAATATTTGGTAAGATATATTTTATTTGAAGTTAGCTGTTTTATGTTCTCATTACATATTTACTGTGCTGGCCATCAGCAACCCATCACTGACCTCTAGTATGTGCACTAGCAGCAACTAAACACCTCAGTTAACATTAAACAATAGAATCAGGCACAGATCCACACCAGTTTACAAAAATCTGTCAGATTTTTCATGATAACTATTTTAAAAAAAACTTTTGAATTAAAAGTTGTAACCAGGGCTGTGCTCTAGCAGAGCCCAGTGGTCCCTGCCGCCTAACTTTTGCCCTCAGGTGACTAGCAAATCTCAGATTTTTCATACAAATCACATGCTGGGCACCCTAGATTTTACAGTTTCAGAGCACTGGGCTCCCTTTAATTTTCCTTAGAGCACAGCCTTGTGTAACTGGAAAATGGTTTAGACAAATTTTATTTTTCCAGTTTACTGGCATTAGACACGCTCTCCTGCCTCATCCGAGAAGCATGGAACTGACCAATATCCTGTCTCAATTAATCTGAAACCCAGGAAAGGGGACTTTGGGGAGTTTAAATCCAGAAAATTTCTCAGAGGAGCACGCTTCCGGAAATTCATAGAAGCTTTTGCCTTCAGTGCCCATTTAGGAAATTGGTCAATATTTATCCTTGATCCGATCCTAAATCCTGACAATTCCTTATCATAAGTCATTTTTCACTCTGTGATTGGTCAATTTTTCATTTCCCTGACTACTTGTACAGGGCAAACTTTAAACAGAAAAGATCTTTTCCTTTTCCAATTCTGCCGCTACAAGCCTAATGTTTTTTTGGCACATACTGTAAATTATCGATCCTCATTTCCCCCTGAACACAAAGAGTGTCGACTTCAAACTTTGCTCACAAGAGAAATGTGGAACGGCACTGTCAGGGCTGATACAGCTATTTTGAGAAAGGTTGTCAGAAAAAATGTGCATACGACAATCTGGAAAGGTAATACCGGATATGCTCAATACACTGTTCCTGACACTGTAGCTGTCAAATCTACTTTTGTTCCTTTCCTTTAGCATCTGCAGACTTAATGTCCATGGCCTCTCCTGCCATTCTTTCAAATTTCTTTGAAAAACGGTGAACTCAAAACCACCCACAATACCTTTCGGGGTTGTTGCATGCACTTCAATCGACAACCTTTCTCAAAATAGCTGTATATGGGACATATCTCACCCTCAATTAAATTGACTGACAAAATAAATTATCTGAGTTCCAAGGTGGAAATATAACACAATTTTTATTTCAATGTTTGTGTCTGAGTCAGTAACACAGCGCATGTTTTTTTTATCTCCTTCTAGCAAATTTTCAGGCACAAGCTTCAGAAAACTTGAAAAATTATTTTCGGGAAATTATAAGTTCCTCAGATATTGTTAGGAAGGCAACTGTCATCATTGCTACACTCACAGTCAACATTAACTTACACAAGGTGTGGAGGAGAACTGGAGGCACGGGTTGAAAGACTAAATAACAGTATATCTTCTATGGTGCATTTCATTACATGTACTTCCAATTAAAGTACTAGCTATAGCCAGCAATACTATAAATTATCATAGCGCAAAACGTCAGTAGAAGTTTTGTGGCAGTCAAGGGAATTAAATAACTTTTTTTACTAAAACTGGAACCATTTTAAATGTTAGTAAATCAAAATAGAATTACCTGAACAGAAAGTTTGTCACTATTAATAATATATCAGAACAAGGATGTGAAATACCTTCATAGTGAGGCCATTCTTTAAAAACAACTGGATCATTTAACATGTTAGACACAAGAGAAGCTGCCATGATGGTAGCAAATTTCTTCCAGGACTCATCAGGAGTGTTACTATCATTAGAAAAATGAGATATCCCTTTAACAATCACCCATTCAAGGTTCAAATCATGGGCAGCAGCAAACAGTCCTATAAATGGAAAGAAAAAATAAAGACCACACAAAATGAGATTTTTCAGGTGTATGGTTTAACCTGACAAACACAAAGCTGCAGTTCAAAAACGAATTATTTCATATACTTCACATCATTTCACTCCTTACAGGAGATATGAACTCAGTAAATTGACCTCACTCCCAATGTGTGGCTTCATATAGCTCAGTTGGTAGAGCAACGCACCGGTAACGCGGAGGTCACGGGTTCGAATCCCGTTGAAGCCCTGATTTTTTTCAGGCTTCTTCTTTCCAATTGCTTAATTGGAAAATTTACTGCGATGATCATTCTTCACTTTCATCTACAACCGCAGTTCAAAAATGAATTATTTCATATACTTCACATCATTTCACTCCTCACGGGAGATATGAACTCAATAAATTCACCTGGCTCCCAATGTGTGGCTTCATAGCTCAGTTGGTAGAGCAACGCACCGGTAACACAGAGGTCACGGGTTCGAATCCCGTTGAAGCCCTGATTTTTTTCTTTTTTCTTTTTTCAGGCTTCTTCTTTCCAATTGCTTAAATTGGAAAATTTACTGCGATGATCATTCTTCACTTTCACAAAGCTGAATTTTAACCAAATATTCTTAGTTTCTCAGCATGGAAATTAATGCTTTGACATTATACAAGTTCACTATGGTAATAGCTGAACTTTTCTTAATTTCAAGGCTGTGCCCTAAGGAAAATTGAAGGGAGCCCAGTACTCTGAAACTGTAAAATTTAGGGTGCCCAGCACATGATTTGTATGAAAAATCTGAGATTTGCTAGTCGCCCGAGGGCAAAAGTTAGGCGCCTGAGGGGCCACCGGGCTCTGCTAGAGCACAGCCCCGAATCTTGTAGACATGGTCACCACAAAGAAAGCAAAAAAAAAAGTAAAAATTAGTTACAGATCATACCAAGTACAGTAATATGTGGAATTAGCACTGCTGTAATCTAGTTTAATATTTGTAAGTATTGCCATGTAAGCGTGTAAGTTCGCTATTTGTTTTTTTCTTTTTTTTTCCATTTATTTATTCTGTGTAATTTTTTTCTTTTCTGTGTGTGTTTTACTTGCAATAAAAAAAACCCATGGTCATGCAGAAATAGTAGGCAGTGCGAAAATAATATGATCTAGAGCTTTATGGGGTAGACTTTCATATACTGGAATCAATTGTTTTTAATCTGTAGCCTTGTTGTTCATAATATTATATTAATGCTCTGTTCTTATCCATTGCCAATTACACCAATATATATTGTTCTCTGTTACATTCTTTCAGATTATGTGTAATTATTGAAAGACAGCCTGTTTTATGTCACACGCCATGGTCACACGTGGCCACAATAACAACACTGCTATATGTAAATACGGTATGTTCAAACATGTTGTTGCCATAATGATGAACTGTGGTACCATGGACATGCAACTTAGTAAAATTCAATTTCTGGACACTGCATATAGACCCAACATTAACTGTTATAAAATCAGTGATCTATACAAAATCTTACCTTCTCCTTCGCTTTCAGAAGCAATCATATGAGACTCTGACTTACGGCGTTGTTTGGGAATGGCTGGCTCATTAATGCCACTCAATATGCTGCTGTCATGGTGTACCTGTACTTGTTCTCCAGCTGCTGGATCTTTTAATGGTGGATTCCATCCTTCAGTTGAAAATCTGATCAGGTTGGCAATATTCCTTCTTACAGGGGCTGTGAATTCATCAGTTGTTAGTGTAGACGATACAACCACATCTCCTAAGTTGGTGCCTTTCTGGTTTAAACCAATGCAGCAGCCAACAGAAAACACAGCTTTGGGTCCCAGTTGCACCACTGCATTTTTGACGGTAACTAAAGAACCACTTGGACCAGAAGAACCTTTAGAACATCTCATCAAAGCAACTTTCAATGATTCCTCTCCACTTTCACCCATCGTTCCAAAGTACACATGTCCAAGGTTCACATGATAACTTTTAAAGGCATTTGTCAAGTATGTATAACAAGCCAAGAACTCACAGTCCTCCACTGTCAACAAGAGAATGTCAACGGGGAGCTGGACATCACTCCATGGTTTTGACTTGTTTGGAAGATCTCTCATTTTAGGTACTTCAATACTCAGAGGCGGAGGCTGGGTATTTTCTATTGCCGCCTGATGGTCAGGAGCACCTCCTTTTCTTTTGAGGTCTTGATGCTGCGCCATTGAGTCTCGGTTAAAGATTTCCCCTAACAGGGTAAAGGTGGAATCCACCAGCAAATTAAGTAATTTCAATTTTCAGTGGACAAAAACCTTGTACCAGAATAATTTAAGAAATATTGCATTCTCTTTTACATTTTCCAAGGGGTAAAGAAGTAATTAGTCATCAGTAATAACACCAAAGAAAATTTCTCACGGGAGTCTGAGAAAATAAATGTCAAATTTCACAAGAATTGTGAAAACACAGGTAAAATTCTGAAAATTTCATGTGTAAGATGTAATTAATTTTGTGAAATTTGACATTCATTTTCTTGGGCTCACATCAGGCATTTTCTTTGGTGTTACTACAGACGACTAATTACATCTTCAGCCCTTGAAAAATGTAAAAAGAGAATGTGATATTCTTTAAATTATTCTGGAACAAGGTTTTTGTCCTCTGAAAATTAAAATTACTCAATTTCCTGGTGGATTCGGTGTAAATATAATTTATAAGATCACCACATTGGAAAACTTTTTAACAAATAAAAAAAATTAATCAATAAATTACTTAATGTCACAGCTACTTTATTTATAGAGTCAATCCTCCTGTGACCAAGAAAAAGTGTCCACCTGGGAGATTGAGGTATCTGCTTCACAAAGGTCAATATGAAGTGTTTATAGGTGCCTGGGTCCATGACCCCGCGAAGTGGGGGGGGGGGCTCTCCGGATTTCAGGTGACAGCGATGATCGAAGGATTTTGTAGGGTTTGAAATTTTTGATTACAGGATTTTGTTTGGGTAGGAAAATTTTGGCAAGTATTTTTTGGAGTAGCTCGATTTAATTAGGGATTTTTTTGGGTATTCAAAACAATCTGAAGATTTGTGATAGTTTTGGCGTATGGTGGCCGCTTAGTTCCTCTAGAAATTTTTATGGCTCGCAAAATCGGAATGGGATTTTTGGGGGATTAAATATTTTTGGTCCAAGGATTTTTTTGGGCTTTGACTTTTGCCCCCATTTGATCATCCCTGTCACTTGAACTGGAGTACCTGCCCCCCACTGTCCACGAATAGTTAGTGTTGGCTTAGGAGAGAAAACCATGTCTTCACAAAGGTCAATTAAAAATGAAGCGTTTCTTAGTGGTGCAGGGACCACAAAAAAGCTTCATTAAGGAGGGAGAGATTTCCAGTGAAAAGGTTCCCTATTGAAATTGCAGTGTTAGTATTATTGGCTACAGACCTAAGTGTATACTTAGGGGTGAGATCCACTATTAACAAAGGCTTGACTACCAAGGCTGTGCTCTAAGGAAAATTTCAGAGAGCCCTTCGGGCTCCCAAGCATTTTAGTTAAGGTACCCAGACCTCAAAGTTGGTCGCCCGAATAAAAATTTCAGGGAGCCCTTCGGGCTCCCAAGCATTCCAGCTGGGGTGCCCAGGCCTCTCAAGTTGGTCACCCATGTACATCTGATGAGGAAGTATTTTGTACGCACATGAATCTTACTGGCCTGCTGATCACCAAACTCGGTAATTTTAGCTTTTGGGTTCGACAAAAACCCGCATGTTGTCTTATGAAACCCATCAAAGTTTTCATGCCATTCAGATTTAAAACCACAAACGTGAGAAATGTCGCCGAATTGTTTAGTATATGCATCCATGCGAATTTAGTTTTCGATACGTAAAATGCCAAGACAATGTGGAACTGCCCTGTTTCTAAAACAACAATAAAAACGATTAGAATGATCATATCTTTTCTTTTTATAAATCGTTATCTTAAACAATCATAAGTTATGTATTAGCCAAGGAGACAAAGCAGCCAAAAACCGTAAAAACATAACATTTGCATACTGGTCAATACAGCAACTTCCATTTACATAAAAATAAATTACTCCGCGTCACCAGCCGCGCTCTACGTCTGTCAGAAAAGTATTGACAGCTTCTCCTAAAAACTGTACCTAATGAACCATTCTATCTGAAAGAAAAATTTTTATAAAACTATTTTAAGAAGCGGTACAAATTGAAATCCGTGCCGCTTGTCACGTTCAAGCTGATGGATTATGTTACATGTGAAATCATGCAGAATGACCTTTGAACATCGACACATGCCCATTTCTTTCGTACAACATTCATAAAAACATTTTCTGTAGGGTTTAGTAAACTCTGACTCGACAAGCCAACACTGGTATGTTAAATTTTTCTGCCCGCTTAACTGAAGACTGCACCAGAAACAAGAGTGCCTGGCCGGGCAACCGGGAACTTTTTTTTAGTCGCCCGAAGCTAAATGTTAGTCGCCTCAGGCGACCAGGCGCTGTTAGAGCACAGCCTTGACTACAGCAGTGTATTGGAGAATCAGAGGAAATAGTAATCTAGGTAATGATCTCAATAGTGAAACTACATTAAATTAGCTCAAGAGTGCCTACAGGTGTAGAACAGAGGCCACAAAGAGCTAAGTAACTTACTTTCAGGAGCAAGTATGATTTACCAAGTGCATTTAATATCTTGTGATATCACAGGGTAGCATCTTCAGTATCTTGGTAGTTTGAAGCTGGTCTACAAAACTGATGAAAGATATCATGCACTTAAAACCTTTTCACGTAAAAAGTTAAATTTTAATACTCTCATGGTAAGGTTATATTCTAAGCATAAATCCTCAAATAACACAAGTGATCCCTTGTAAGCAGCAGGGTCGGAAATTGCGCCTTCCTGGTCGCCAATGCGACTAAAAATTTAGTCCTGGTGACCAGAATTTCATAGCTGGTCGCCAGCTAGCGACTTGTAAAGCAGTCAGTGTAAAACGCAGACTGCGGACTGCAGACTGCGGACCAGGGGTAAAATGCAGACTGAGTGTAAAATGCAGACTGCAGACTAAGAGTAAAACGCAGGCTGGGGTAAAATCCAGACCGACCATAAACTGTAGTCGTGGAAGGGTTAAAGGGCAAAAAAATCCCCCAAATACATACGAACACTTACTTGATGACATCTGCTTTCACAAATCCATTCCTTTCTTCTCTGGAACGTCGTCTACGACCCGAAAACATAATCGCAATCTTGAACCTTTTTTCCATCCGAGAAGACTTCACGCTTCAAATTTTGATGCGAAGTTTTCGAAAAACGGGACCACGGACCGTGAACTGGTACGACACCATGATGTTTACGCTTAAATGAAAGCTGCTGACCCAAAATACTGTACAGGAATTATGGCGATAAAAACGGGAGTAAGCCATTCCAACAACAAAGAAAAGATGTTCTGCAGGAAATTTGGATGACCTTCTATGAAAGTATTGCAAATCAAGGTACGCAGACTTAAGCTGTTTGGATGTTCATTGAAACTTCTGGCGAATGTGCAATTCACTTCGACTAGGAAGCGAAGTGTGGAACTGATACCGGCTAGCTATTTCACCGATTTGAAGAAGAAGGAGCACAAATGTTTAAAAAAAGTCTACGGTCTTTATTCTGCATTTTACCCCAGTCTGCATTTTACTCTGAGTCTGCAGTCTGCATTTTACACTCAGTCTGCATTTTACCCCTGGTCCGCAGTCTGCAGTCTGCAGTCCGCAGTCTGCGTTTTACACTGACCGCTTGTAAAGCTGGTTGTTATTGTGGACTTAAACGTTTGGAGATTCTGATTAAGAATTGAAACTTCGAAGCTATTTGCTGACAGGTGTCTTACTTTTTGTCCTGCTGATATTTTTTAATTAAAAGTGAAACGAAGCTTCCTGTAATAATACCTTCCCAACAGCTACGATTAATACGAGTTGAACGTTTCCAAGCCATTACGAGTANGAAAGTATTGCAAATCAAGGTACGCAGACTTAAGCTGTTTGGATGTTCATTGAAACTTCTGGCGAATGTGCAATTCACTTCGACTAGGAAGCGAAGTGTGGAACTGATACCGGCTAGCTATTTCACCGATTTGAAGAAGAAGGAGCACAAATGTTTAAAAAAAGTCTACGGTCTTTATTCTGCATTTTACCCCAGTCTGCATTTTACTCTGAGTCTGCAGTCTGCATTTTACACTCAGTCTGCATTTTACCCCTGGTCCGCAGTCTGCAGTCTGCAGTCCGCAGTCTGCGTTTTACACTGACCGCTTGTAAAGCTGGTTGTTATTGTGGACTTAAACGTTTGGAGATTCTGATTAAGAATTGAAACTTCGAAGCTATTTGCTGACAGGTGTCTTACTTTTTGTCCTGCTGATATTTTTTAATTAAAAGTGAAACGAAGCTTCCTGTAATAATACCTTCCCAACAGCTACGATTAATACGAGTTGAACGTTTCCAAGCCATTACGAGTAATGTGGCACAAAAAAATGTGGCCTGGTACGAGCAACATGGCGGCTACGTTTCATGGTTGTTTTGTGGATTGTTTTGTGGTAGTTATCGGAAGAAAATAGTTTTGATATGATCCGGTGCAGTCATGGGCAGACAACTTTCTGTTCCTACGTTCTAGATCAGATGGCTTTACATGTATATCTCCAAAAAGTAATTTGTAGAAAAAATGAGACTTCACTTGTACACATACGGTTTCTTTCTGGTATCGGGAGCGGAAGTATTGCAATTTTTAAGCACAAAAACGTCCTTACCATGCATTTTTATTCGTGTTTAAACTTTTATTTGAAAAAAAGGGAGGAGAAATTTTTGGCGACCACAATTTGCCCTCTGGCGACCAAAAATTTATACTTGATCGCCAGTTGGCGCTCGTATTAAAAAGTTAATTTCGGACCCTGAGCAGTGCGTGGTATTTACTAATCTATTTGCAAAAAAAATGAAAATGCTATAATCCCTTTTTGATTAAAAAAATTGAGTTTGTTTTGAAAGTTTTTTGCTCAAAGTGAAAAAGAGCATTTAAGTGCTCGCGTGTAATGGCGCACACTGTCCAACTTATGAATGATGCGTATGGTCCTGTACACTGTTCTATTACCACTTAAATTGACAGCTAATAGCCATTTGGGAATTTTTTTATAGTCATGATTGACTGTCTATCTACATACCAATTACTTTGAGTCATTCTTTACATGTTACATAATTTTTGAATAATTATGCTATTTCTGCAAGTCATACCACATTCCATTCTGTAAAATAAAATATTATTCTGCCATTTACCCCCACCTCACATACTCTAATACAAACACGCCTCTTAGCCAATCAGAGTTAATGCACTGTATCTTATTGTATAGGTAACATTATAAGAGCAGAATCACAATAATTGCTCAGACCCTTGGTTTCTAAACCTCCTGATATTTGTACAAAAACTGACCTCCCTTCCCTAATCAAATGCTGTAATTTTACCTTATATAGATATACCGGGTATTTTAATTTCAGTCAATTTTGTTTGAATATTTTCAGTGACATAGAGGAGATGGCGGGTTATTTTAAATTAATGTACTGGGCCGAGTTGTTCGAAGCTGGGTTAAGTTAACCCAGGGTTAGTGCGAGATTTGAATTCAGATTCGAAAGCTTTAAAGCTTTAAAACCATTTCAGTTTTAATTCTTTCTGTCTACAAGTTGATGATTGGAAGCTCTAAAAACAACAGAGAAAATTATCCAAGAAAATGCTTTTAAACACAAGAAAAAGAAACCAGGGTTAATTTAACCCCGGGTTAAGCGCTAATTGGCCTTCGAACAACTGGGCCCTAAACTTCAAACAGAAAAACAGCATTTTAAACAAATGACGAAAGAATTTCCGTTAAGCTGCGTAGCACTTTAGAAAATAGAAGTAACAAAAATGTTCATTAAAAATAATAAATAAATCATGAAGAAAAGTGCCGTGTTTAGGTTGAAGTTATCCTTTCCAAACGTTTCGGGCCTGGTCCTTCATCAATGGAATTACCAGTTTGTCGAAACCGTTGCAAGGTTTATACATGCCATAAATTAGAAATAAAAATGAAAGGCTTTGTAGTGCACGCACAGCTCTGAGCGCCGCCTAGAGGAAACGGAAGTCGGAGTCTAAACTGTGCAGCTGACTGGTGCCAAGTTGAAATATCAGTTGCATTTCCAGGCGCTTCCGTTGGCGTTATCTACAGAGAGCATCATTCCTCGAACCAAAGCGTTGTCGGATTTTAAATAGCAAGTCAATTTGGAGGGTTAAATCACTGATCATAGAGTTCCTTAGTCTTCTTGAAATACATGTATGCAATAATATACATGTAATATGAACTTACTATGAATTAGGCAATTGAGAAATCAATAGATCACTGTGTACAAGCGTACTTACATGTAACTTAGGTGTCAGTAATACATGATACTTTATACTACTAAAACAAAGAATGCTTTCACAAAAGTAAGCTTATCAAAAGTTACAAGTAAACTTAATAAGCTTACCTTTGCGTGACGACCCTAAAAACGGCTGCGAAGGAGACTAACCTTTTCACAATGTCACTTCACGATAACATGCATGCATGCCAAAAATAGTCTACAACAGCTACAACATACATTGATAGCTAGACAAACAGCACATGTTATATGTTGACCAAGGCCCTGAACATCTTTTATTTTAGCCTTCATGAAAAACTCCAGTAAGGTTGACTTACCTTCTAAAATAAAATGAATTCACTGCAAACTTTAGGAATCACTGAGCTACAGAATGGTCCAAGTTCTCACTCAGTTGACCTAAAAAATAGTCATCTGAGAGGTGAGACATTATCATGCAAGGTTCTATTAAAACAAAATTTTGCAACATTCTGGTTAAAAGAGACTTTCTCTTTAAAATCTTGAAAACATCACGAGTAATGATCACACAAATGATCACAATCTGGATTTGAAACCTTTTCACACAAGTTTAAATAATAATGCTCTCGCAACTATTTTCCAATTATCAAGGGCTGGTTTTTTTACATACAAATGTAAATCACCACATGAAAATGAAGAAAATGGCGTGAAATTGCAGTTTGATTCTTTGCCAATTTTAATGTTCCACTGACCAATGATTACCCTACCAGCAGAGTCACTTTGATCTTTCCTTGAAAAGCCAGAAAAGATGAAGTGATTCTGCCGATATCTTCAAAGTCCTTTGATTTACAGATCATCCCGCCATCTAGATGAGTCAGACAAGTTTAATGCTGGATAAATCAGTTTTACCTGCGCTCACATGTGTATAATGGGTTATTCCAGAAAAAATCCACACCCCCACGATGGAAGGCAAGGTTTTTTGACCCCCCCATCCACCTGGATTTCCAAAACTGCTTGAGCCCCCCTCCACTCAGGATTTCCAAGTTCAAAGACCCCCCCACCCATCTGGATTTCCATAAAATTGTTAGACACCGTGATTTTACTTTACACTCAATGTGGAAGAATCCTTTTAGGCACTTAGATGATCTTTTTATTAAATAGCTTACACTTTTTGCAAATAAGCTCATATTTGAGTGAACTTCTCTTTTTTTCTAGAACAGGCAAAATATACAGCAATATATACTACAATAAAGCTCAAAACTAACTTTGTTCTCGAATAAATGGTTCCTTCTTTGCCGATAAAAAATGACCGAGAAAGAAAGAAAAAGGACACTTAGCACAAATTTATATTACATGACGCGCCGTACCACTTGCCACAACACTTGCCTTTCAAAATGGTCGCCTAACAATCACGAACAACCACGCTTACAAAATGTACTTGTAAGGCCTGTTTAGTGGTAAATCACCCTGAAATAGCATTAACCTTGGAAAAATGTATAATTCAAGGTAAAATCATTGTTTGCTTTACTTGAACTGAGTGCTTTTTTATGAATTATGTGATTTTTCTTGATATCTTCAAGTTATCGCACGTCGCTTCTACGAAAGTAACGAGGGCGAGCCTATGGATGGAAACTTAAAATAAATGTGGTAAGAGGTCTGTAGTTTGAAAGAATAATAAAATTGAAAAGGCAAAGCAATTTTTGAAAACTTATTGATTGAAGTGATTGAAACATCGATGAAATTGAAAGGTACCCCTGAGGATGTATTTTTAGGTTCAGAGCCCCCCTCAGGTCTGAATTTCCAGAGCCGTTAACCCCCCCTCCCGTGAGATTTTCCAGCGCGCCTCCCGTCGTGGGGGTGTGGATTTTTTCTGGAATAACCCAATTTATACTCTAACCCACACTCAATAACAAAACAGATGGCTGCCACTTCGATTTCATGCAGGGATTTTGAGAAAATTATTGATTCAATGTTTAGTAAAACGCGGCAAAGCGCTTGTCCTGTTTTTAGAAAAATTAGAAGATGCACCCCGATTTGAGATGGATTTTGCTTTGGATTTAACCATGTGCTCAGCAGATTTTATTTGCGTGAACGGATCCACGATCCAGTAAGTGTTTTGCAATGTGCTTTTAACAATGTTTTATTATGAATCTGACGGATTTTGAATAAAAATATTTAAGAAATAATTTCTCTGTCTATTCTTTTGTGTTTGCTCGTTCATAACATTAATTTAAAATACGATCAGGAGGGTAACAAAATAAAAAAAATAAAATTTAAACCAAGGATAAAATTGAACCACAACATATATATTAAAACAAAACACAAAATAAATAAACAAACAAAACAAAAAGAAAGAAAGACAGGGTGCTAATAAGGATTTGAACCCGGCATCTTCAGCTTGACGTGACTTCTCTTTACCACTACACTACTAAGAATGAGTAGGTAAGTCTGGTGAAAAGTCTTTAATTTAAGGCCTTTTCCATGGCAATTCCATCAGCAAGCGCCTTTTGAAGCTGATCGAGCCGTATTAAACACGAATTCAAAGGTATATTTCAGGAAAATAACCGGGCTTTTGACATTAAAAAACCACTGTTAACTCATTTCATGGCAATGAAAGGACATATTATTATGCCCAACAAAGCTGATACAACTCAAACTAGGACGCAAAGCATAAACTGATGTTTTCTTTCCTCGATTTCTGTGGTTATTTTGAAGGCAATGTCATTTTCTGTAAAAGGTACTTCTACCCTCGAAATTTATCACTAAAAGCATTTCTTGACCTCATAAATGACATTAAACAGCCCCTAAAGCAACCAGGAGGGTGCCTTGTTGCTAGGTAACTGCATTCGCCCAAACCAATAGAGATATTTAAAACCAAGGCAAGATCACACCTTGCTTATAGCGATTGTTGTGCGCATTGCCACATGCGGGACAAAATTTATAAACTTGCTCGGCGAGAATTAAAGATTTTAATTTTAAAAGTGATTTGCACTTTTTTGGAATAATAACTCGCGTGGTCATTAGTTTGAAAGCGAGGCTGAGAGGCTTGGTCACATTTGACTTTCTAGCATGCTTAATATGAATTGTTGAGGTAGTCAACAGAGTCTCCTTCCTCTTCCTGACATATCTAGAAACCTCGAAGCAGACTTTTCGCAGGGTAACCAAATGATGAAAGATAACATGCACCGTTTTGTAGTTAGCGGCATGGTAATAAAGAGATGTTGACTTTGTGATGCCAGGTTATTTTGGAGGCTTTTGGAATCATGCTAGAAATACAATTCCTTAAGGAAAGGTTAAAACTAAGAACTTTGAAAGAAAAAAAATCAAACCTGTATCCACAAGGATACAGCGAAGCGAAACGAAGCGAAACCTGCAATGATTATTTGAACTGGATTATCAGACATTTCAAGACATTTCCCTTCCATCGCAGTGATCAAACTCGCATTGTCCGACGGATGATTTATGTTCATGCTGGGTGGAAGTTATACTGTATAGTTTAACTTGTACCAAGCAGCATGATCACTGAGTATGGAAAGAATATGTTAGTTTACACATACGAAATTGACTTTCTTTGCAAAAGCTACACACCACATAGTTAACTGTGAATGTCTTAAATCCAAACTAGAGAATTCATGTTTTACACAAACCTGCGTTTAAGGGCTTGGAAGTAAGATCTTTGCTTCTGAAGATGTCGGGCGATCGAGAGGAAGGATGAAGGGTGCGGTTACTCTGTCATGACGTCAACGTCTGGGAATGAGGCACTTGATAAGAGTCACGCGATATCTACGTCAAAGATTGTCGAAAGCATTGATACAGTAGAACTGGGGAAATTTTTACGTTATCATGGTTACATCGAGAGTTCTTTATCTCGAACACCTCGATTTAACGAATTTTCGAAAAAACAACCAAAAAGTTCGTTCTTTCCAGGTATAGTTAATAATTAATTTACAAAACCCAGTATTCCCGGACCTGCGGCACTAGAAACTCAAGAACAGGCAAACAAAACTGTTCCCCCCCCGGTCACTGTACGCACAAGTTCTCTTCTTTTTGATCTGTTTGGCATTCATCTTTTATCACATGTTGACATTTATTCGTTATATCGCGATACAATAATTTTTAGGGACGGACCATTAGAAAGTTATGGGGGGGCGGGGAATTTTCGAGCCGCAGGAATTTTTTTTCTTTAATATTTCCCGTGAATGAATATTTTTTTTTGTCAAGATGTTGTGCACGAATATTTTTTTCCTTGAAGTAACACTAAACTAAAAACACATTAAATCATTCAGTTGTTCACTTAACCAAGGGCATAATTTAAATATAGGCTACCTGGGCATGTATGCGAAAGTAAATTGATACATATTCTAAGGTACAGTTCACAATAGCCTTTTATATACAAGGTATCCTGTATTGTACGTGCATTGGTACTGCACAGGTTCATATTGCATTGCTGAAATTTTACATGTAAACAGCATTATAAATAAGGCATTCTAAAAGAGTGTACAGTGGACGCTCTCTTAACAGACACCTCTACAAGACGGACACCTCTGTAAAACGGACACCTACAGTTGGTCCCTGCCTTTCTTTACTCCTTTTATTTGACTCTTTATACGACGGACATCTCTCTAAGATGCACACTTAGAACCGGCCTCAAAGGTGTCCGTCTTAGAAAGAAATGACTGTGGGGTTCTTAAAGGATACATAAAATAATTTATGTCCAACCACTATAAAAGATCTGACGCAATATCACAGTGGGACAGAAGAAAGCCATTGGGAGTAGATGGGACATTTAAAATAAATAAAAGCTAACCGTACTTCGAGTCAGTGCTTAACGCTAATCACTATAGTCATGTCTTAGCCCTAATCACTATTTTCAGTGCTATATACTGCTGACCATCATTCGGCGTTCTGCGTTCTGCATTCTGCGTTCAGTGTTTTGCATTCTGCAATATACCCCTACCATTGATAAATTATGATATACTCTTACCATATTGATACATTTAAGTTTTTGTTTATAAAATGTAATTATGATGNCTATTTTCAGTGCTATATACTGCTGACCATCATTCGGCGTTCTGCGTTCTGCATTCTGCGTTCAGTGTTTTGCATTCTGCAATATACCCCTACCATTGATAAATTATGATATACTCTTACCATATTGATACATTTAAGTTTTTGTTTATAAAATGTAATTATGATGATGATATTGTTATTATCAAGAACCAGAACGGAAATTGTCTAAAAACGTGTGGTAAAAATAGATAAATTTGACCAAATGTTAAACGTCTTTAGGCTGCTAGTCTGAAAAGAACATGTATCTTGAGTTAATTTCATTTATCTAAAAGGACCAGCAACAACTGTAAAAACAAAATCACAGAAAATAGATTTTTTTATTTTTATTTTTATTTATCTGTTGCTTGTTAGAAGTACCAAGAAATAATATACATTCTGGATGTTTCTGGGTGTTTCCTTCGATTTGTGGGGAATACTCTGATTATTGTTATCTATGGTATCTAAAAGAAATGTTTTGTCCCAGATTTTAGATATGTAGTTCACAAAGTAAGGAAATGATAACCTTATAACATGTTGAGTTTTTGTAATACATAGAAAAGTATAATTAAATTTATTTAAAGTTATTTAATAATCATATCTGAAATTGCCAGCTATTAAAATTTATGATAAGCTTACAAGCCTTAGATATATTTTTTTGTATCAGGTATGATTATTAACAAGACCAAAATTCAGCAGGAAGTTTATTCAAAGGGCCGATGTTCTGCACACAGTATGCTTTCCTGCCTGCCTTCTTAAGATTTGTGCCAAAATGTGTGGACGGCCAATGCAGGAATTTTTTTTCCTGGTCTACTCTGCATGCATGAATTTTTTTTCACTTAATTTTCCCTTGCATGAATCTTTTTTTTGTACTTCGCCCGCCCCCCCCATAACTTTTCTAATGGTCCATCCCTAAAGATTGCGCTTCTGGATTGTGTTCGTCTGTATAACGAGGATTTCGTTAAATCGAGGTTCTGTCCGGGGGGGGGGTACTTCCTTATGAGAGGCTAGTGGGGATGTGTCGCTGGGGTCGCATTTTCACAACTGGTTTGACTATTTCAATAGAGTTACTTGAATGGGGTCGCACATTTTCGGGTTTTTGGTGTAAGATAGTTCTTCATATTTATGGATATTTATGGTTAGCTAACGTACTAGAATGTTTGTATTGCAGGTGAAAGGTAAAGTGTTCTTCATTCAATATAAAGAAAATATCAATTCATTTTATAAAAGACAGTGACTAAGCCCGCTTTCTATTTGTCAGAACTGACCAACCAGCCTATTCCCATCGTTATGAGAATTTCACTTTTAATCAAAACTATCTACATCAGTCAAATCCTAAATATTATGCACAAAGGAGATGGTTTTTCAGCAAAACTTCTTGGAAAAAAAACATATTTCACTGCTAAAATGTCTGGTCCGGCCATAGTCCGGCCGGCCAGTTCTGACTTTTGGAAACGCCTTATTAAGTTGGGATCGCGAGAATTACATTTGCCCAAAAGTGACTAAGATGGGCTCTAAAATTGGCCACAGAATAGACTTTAATAGGGTAGGGGCTCTGAGACGCCAGCGGCAATTAACCCAAGTACTACCAACTCCCCCTTCCCCTCCGGGGGGGTCTGTACCATACATTTCACATTTTCACATTCTCGGAAAAACAGGAACATTTACCCTCTACTCTACCTTCTTGAGTATCCAGTGGGGACGCTAGAGTTCTTGTTTTATAAACACGCAATAGTCGTATTACATATATTTTAATGGCTTAGTCACGTATAACAACTTAGCTATTGTTTTGGCAGCTAAAATTGTAGGTCAACTAGTTTCAGCTGGCTTTAAATAGTCTGACAAAAATAAGCTCGGAGCAACTATCCCATGCATTCTTTGGATATAGCATGTTTGCATGTACGGCATGACTTTCTGTTTTCAACTACGAATTTAAGTAAGGTGGGTGGGGCGGGGGAAACTCCATTATGAAAGTGACTTGTATGCTCGGCGAAAAATTTCTTAAAGAAAAAATTGTAAAGAACCAGAATCTCGTTTAGTGGGTCTACTCCAACTCCTTTTTCACCGCAACAAATTTTCGTACCTGACACGCCGAAATTGCCAAGGATCGAATAAAGCGTTCATCTGGTAGCTATTGGAAACTTGGACTGCGCAACACTTTGCATTAATATGTTAAAATATCATGGGCTTGTCCAAATGTGCTTCTGATATTGTTTTTTTAGGAAGATTCGTCAAAGGCCGGCGAAAGGTGATGGAAACCAGTTCTAATCTTGGGAAAAGTTTACTCCTCCTGCCCTCCCCTCCTCCGCCGCTTTTTCATAACTTGCTGGATCCCTCCTGGCATTTTCGATTGCAATCCTTTGCTTTTTGATTTATCTCGTCATGTATTTTTGGTCAGTAGATCTATTTGGATCAAATATGTCACATATACATCAGCAAGGTTTTATTCCGATTATCAAAAGACCAAGAAAGCAAAGCATTCTTATCCTGTGGACGGGTAAAGGACATTTCCAGCTAAGAGAGGTATTTTACAAAAGCGGGGTTTTTGAGAACCTTAAATGCAGCCAATTCTCTTTAATTTACGGCCGCTTCAAGGAAATGACGCTATTAGCTGTGGAAACAGTGAGAAACAAGCAGTAAAAATAGCAAAGCCAAACTGTAGTTGTTTTTTCTTTGTCCATACCGTTTACTTGGTACTAAAAGTAAAATAATATATACACTAGAACATCTATTCAAAAAAGAGAGTATTCTTACAAAGATTGTCATTAATTTATGTACACTGTAGTATTATTGATTCATCCACACAAAGGATTGAACGTGTTTGCTGCCACATCGCACAGCAGAATTACACATTTTTTTTGGTGTCAAAAAATTTAAATATTATTTACAGTAAAAATACACAAACTACACCGCAAATCTATTGAAATGCTGTATAAATTGGAAAATTTACACAATTGCCATCAGAAATTTATATATATCATAGTACTGCCGATTATGAACTTGTGCCAGATTCGTTGCAAAGACTGTCCATATTTTGCGTGTGTTCACTTATAACTGGACTTCTACTCTGCAAGCTGGGGAGTGAAGAACTTTGCATTCCATGTGGAGAAACATATCCCGGGATTCCTGGTGGGTGGGTAACTGTGGTTATGCCAGAACCACTGGATTCCGTTACGCCTGGAATTGTACACTGCGTTTGTAATCCATGCATAGGCTCTCCCATCATTCCATGTGAGAAAAGATATCTCGGTGTTCCAAGCAGAAGAGGAACTGTAGAACTGGTTGATCCACTGAAACAGTGCGGGTCACCTGCAATTGTACTGTGGCTCTGCAATCCATACAGTGAAGGTTCCGACATTCCTTGAAGAGGGGGGTCTTCAATGGAGGGTGCCAGGTTGTGGTTGAAATCATTTGCCGTACTAACTGGAGCACTCACTAACACAGGACCGGATAAAGAGAAATAAAAGTACAAATCAATTAAGATCCCTCACGATTAACATGATGTGACAGTGAAAGCTACTGATTTTAGACTTGTTGCATTCAAGTTAACTTCGCCTTTGATGACCTTTGGAAGTTATTGTACAAAATTTAAAAGAGATTAAAGCAATGTCCACTGTGGAAATTATAAAAGATAAACTGAAAGAGAAAGGTGTCTTACAAGGGGTCTACAG